CGGGACTTGAACCGTGGTTGGCCATGTGGGAATGTCCAGCGCCTTAACCACCACACCACCTGCTGGCCCAGTATGTCAAATACTTTCTAAATTCCATATTTTTTAAGAATTATTTTTATTATTTAACATATATCTATTTATTTTAATTTGACCAGAGAGGGATGAAGTAAGAGAGAGAGAGAGGGAAAGTGAGAAAGAAGTCTGCCAGGTCTAGGACTCGAACCGTGGTCGGCCATACGGGAGTCTAGCACCCTTAACCACCACGTCACCTGCCAGCCCCTAAATCCCATCTTTTAAAAAGCGAAAACAAGCGGAGTTTAAAATACAAGGCACTTACAGTTGCAGCGTATTCCGTTGAGGTCCTGTCATGCGTGGAAACAAAAATGATGGACGCCAACAAAAACACAACTCCTGTTCCCAAAGTAATATAGAAGTCCTAGGCGACACACAGGACAGAGGGGGACAGCACCGTCAGATGCGAGGCGACAAACTTTCATTTCAGAACACGTCAATGACTTGTTTTCTTGATACAACCCTAACTTACACACTGCAACTTCTAACTTTCCCACAAGCCTAGAACTCAACAAATACTCCGTAAAGAAACACTGCCCACACACTCTTTGGCCTGGGCATAATGATGGAGTATATAGCAAGACAGCTATATATATATGTATGTATGTGTGTATGTATATAGTGTATGTATATATAGTGTGTGCATAGTGTTATATAAATATATAGTGTGTGCATAGTGTTATATAAATATATAGTGTGTATATACAGTGTGTATATTGTGAATATATAGCATATGTATATATATCGTGTGTATATACAGTGTATGTATATACAGTGTGTGTATATAGTGTATATGTAGTGTGTAGAGTGTGTGTAAAGAGTGTGTGTGTAGTGTGTGTATATAGCGTGTGTGTAGTATCTGTATATATATAGTGTGTGTGTATATAGTGTGTATAGTGTGTGTACAGTGTGTGTATATGTGTGTAAATACATAGTGTGTGTATATATAGTGTGTGTGGTGTGTGCGCATATATATAGTGTGTATAGTGTGTGTGTAGTGTGTGTATGTAGTGTATGTATATATAGTGTGTGTAGTGTGTGTATACTGTGTGTGTTGTGCGTATATAGATAGTGTGTGTGTACTGTGTGTATAGTGTGTATATAGATTGTGTGTATAGTGTGTGTGTAGTGTGTGTATAGTGTATATATATAGTGTGTGTATATAGTATGTGTGTATATATAGCGTGTGTAGTGTGTGTGCATATATATAGTGTGTATATATAGTGTGTGTAGTGTGTGTATGTAGGTATGTATATAGTGTGTGTGTACTGTGTATAGTGTGTGTATATATAGTGTGTGTAGTGTGTATATAGTGTGTGTGTATATATAGTGTGTATATATATATAGTATGTGTGTGTGTGTATATATAGTGTGTGTGTGTGTGTGTGTGTATTTTTTTGACACAGGGCATGTGCTCTCGCTGGAGATAGAGAGGCAGT